TAGATTAAGTGCCTTTAACGGGGTTAGTGAGTCTGCCCTTGAGACCAAGAATTCGCCCTCGGGTCGGCTTGGCATAGGTGTTGGAAAAAGTCGTCCAAGCATCATGGGATTTTTTGCAGTAGCAATAAACGGGATTAGGGATGGTGTGAGAGAGCCGATTATGGCATTGAGCAAAAGTTGGTCTTGACGTATCCACAGGAGATAATCCGGATTGGGCTACGAAACACCATTATCCATGACAGTGGAAGGAGGGCATGGTTTTGTTCCATCAATAAAACCAAGCAAGTCGTATCCGATGAGAAGTGTTTTAAATTGGAGCCTCCATGCGGTGTAATTTGTGGATGTGAGTTTCAGAGGTGCTTGTGCTGAAACATTGGTGGCAACGAGGTGTGTGGTGTTGTCTGCAGGATTAAGGATGGCAGTTTGGGAGGTGGTAGATGGCGGTGTATTTTGAGTGGAGGCCATGGCTTGAAAAATAATAAAAAAGGGATAGATGGGCGGCGTTAGCCTTCAGGCTCTGATACCATAAAGTGTTTATGGAAGAATGATTTCTATTATAATTTATTCACAAAGTGGGGTGTATATATATACAAGGCTGATGCTGCACGTAATCATCAGAATAAGGAAACTGAATAATTTAAATGGCCACTATCCTAATATAGGAGATTACAAGAATAATTAGAAAGGCAAAGAATATTCAAAATCAAAATCAGATCAGAGATATCCTATTACATTCTACAGGGGACTTTCTTGCCACCAATACCCGATAACCTCTTCTCACCAAATATTCCCCATTAGCTTCGTAATGCCAAATCATCTTATATGGATGTAGACTCAAATAATATCTTAATGCTATCTATCCGAGTAAATATGCTTTCTATTTTATTAACATTCAAAGCACCTGTGACAATCACTAACCTTGTCCACCGTTGTATTAAGGTTCGAGTATGGTCTATGTTATGTTAGTGACACAAATTTCATGTGATTTGAAAGTTTGATTCATGAAGGAAACCTTGATAATTTTAGTTCAAAAGTCCGTTTGACAAAGGATCAAATTTTATCATGGATTTGGAGTTTGATTGGGATAAAGACTTTGGGATGGTTGAAAAAGTGTTTTAACAGAACTAGGACAGAGCCAAGGCGTCGGGAACTAAAAAGAGAAGCAGAATTGCTGGCGCCCCAGCGCCGCGGGAAGAATTTTACTCTGTTTTGATTTTTGATGCAGTTTTGTATTCTATTTCATCCATAACACCAAGATTTGTCTCCTATAAATAGTCCACAAAGTGTAGGCTCTTCAGAGACTCGAGATAACAATTAAATTATTGTTGTATACATTAGAAACTTGAGATAATTGTTTAGATTTAGATTGAGAGAATCAAATCTTGTAAAGATAATTTTAGTTTCTTGATATAATAAATTCTCTATCTTCTTCCACAAAAATCTTGGTGGCTGTGTGATCCATTATTTTTCATATTGCCCATATTTTTTTGTCTTTAATTATTTGGCCCGATTCTCAACAAGTGGTATCAGAACGATTCTGATATCTTGTTTGTTTATAACAAATGGTATTAGAGTTGAAGGTTTTTTTGGCGATTTCTTTGGAGATCCAAATTGATTAATAAAGCGAGGATTGAACAAGGTTGATTGTTTTAGGAATGGCAACTATGAAATTTGAAATTTCTCTTTTCAATCGCAATAGTAGATTTTCTTTGTGGCAGATCAAGATGCAAGCGGCTCTTGTTCAATTGGATCTTGATGATACTTTGTTCGAGATAGATAGAATGCCTGCAACAATGACTACAGAGGAGAAAAAATGTTGCTGGGTTGTGGTTTAAATTTGAGCAGTTTTGTATAAAAAAGAGTTTGACAAGTAAGTTACACTTGAAGCAACGCTTGTATTCTCATCGCTTGACAGAATATGGATTTTGGAAGATCATCTATTGGTATTCAAGGAAATCTTCACTGATTTGAAGACCATGGGGGTCAAATATGATGAAGAGGTTTTAGGGATGATATTGTTTTGTTCGTTACCGCCTACATATGTGACTTTTAGAGATATCATTCTCTATAGTCAAGATACTCTTACTATTGATTATATATATGATGCGCTTTATTCTAAGAAGAAGATGAAGCATCTGGTCATCAGCTTTGAGGCCGGACAGGGGGTTATATTGTTCATGAGAGGAAAACAGGTGGTCATGAAAAGGGCAAAGTCAAGGATAGCAACAGTGATAAAGTTTATTGTTATTGCAACAATAAAGGGCACATGAAGAAGGATTACTATGAGTGACGGAACATGTTTGTTACTACAGATCAGAAGGAACAATCAAAAAATTCAGGTAACGTCAATCTTACAGAAGAAGACAGTGATGGAGATCTTTTGGCGATTACTGAAGGTGACTCCAAACCTAACAAGGATTGGATTCTTGATTCGGCTTGCACATTTCATATGTGTTCAAACTGGGATTGATTTTCTTCATATGAAACAATTACAAGCGATTCCGTGATGATGAAAAATAATGAGCCTTGTAAAATAGTTGGGATTTGTAATGTCAAAATTAAGATATTTGATGGGACGGTTTTAACACTTGGCCAAGTTCGACATGTTCTAGGTATAAACACTAATATAATCTCTTTGAGTAATGTTGATTCAAAAGGGTACACCAAATATCGGTGGAGGTGGAGTTCTGAAAGTTAGAAAATGTGCCCAGGTTGTGTTAAGGGGGCAGAGAAAGTTTGGGTTATATGTGTTAGAAAGTTCAAAGGTCACTATGAATGCAGCAATAGCTTATGGTTTAATAAGCATTAACTTTGGTAGGGTTTATTGTAATCAGGTTGTTCATGGTGATTCGAAAAATAATATTAGATAATCTTCCTATAGCTCAGGTGGTTGGAAGTGCTCGTGGTGATTCGAGCTTCACCGAGCAGGTTTGGCTACCCAGGTAAAGTTATGTTGCTTGTGGTGATTCAAGCAAGTTTGGTGACTCGGCTGGATCTGGTAATGAACGAGATGATTCAAGAAGGTTTGGCACGCAAAGTAGTTCTGCTGGTAAGCATGGCTTGAATTTAATTCAAAGTTGCTCAGTATGCTCAACAGGGGCATGGGGTACCTAGAACGGACATAGTGGAAAAGTTGGAAAATGATTTGAAGAATGAAGACTTAATTTCTTGCTATGAAATTTGTGTTAAGGTTGAATTTGTTATGTTTGTGACTTAAATTTCATGTGATTTGAAAGTTTGATTCATGAAGAAAGCCTAAATAATTTTGGTTTAGAAGTTCGGTTTGATAAGGAATCAAATTTCATCATGGATTGGGAGTTTGATTGGGATAAGGACTTTGAGATGGTTGAAAAAGTGTTTTGGGAGCACTTAGATGGAGCCTGGGCGCTAGGAGCGAAAAAGAGAAGCAAAACTGCTAGGGGCAGCGTCATCATTTGGGAAGAATTCTACTCTGTTTAGGTTTTTGAAGTGATTTTGTGTTCTACTTCATCCATAACTCCAAGATTTGGCTCCTATAAATACTCTACAAAATGTAGGATCTTCAAAAACTCAAGATAACAATTTGATCGTTGTTATATATATTAGAAACTTGAGAGAACTGTTTAAATTTAGATTGAGAGAATCAAATCTTGTAAAAACAATTTTAGTTTCTTTGTATAATAAATTATCATCTTCTTTCACAAAAATCTTGGTGATTGTGTGACCCATTATTTTTAAATTGTCCATATTTTCTCGTCTTTAATTTTTTTACCCGATTCTCAACAAATAATATAAGAGCAATTCAATTATCCTGTTTGTTTACAACAGTCTGAATGATTGTGGCCTTGGTAACTAGCAATCGTACCATAGGACATAACAAATTTTATGTCTTATGTAAGTAGCACAAACTCAACGTCGTGTTTCATACTCGAAAAAGTATCACAATTTATAGAGAGAAATGAGATTCAAATTAGGAACCTTTACGTTGGAAAATAGTGTAATTTTTTTTTTATAGAAAGGCCTGTTATTTATAGATTTATTCGTGGTCATTCGAACAATCTACACGACTCTTTAGAACAGTAGTCACTATTCAATTAGTCTTTCAAATGAATAGAGGTGTATGTCCACAATGAAAATAGGCAACTATTACAATTGATTATAGACATCGGTTACAATCGGTCACCAAAAACAGGTGTTGCTCACAAATGTTGTAACAGACGACATCGATTAATCCAAAAAAAATCGTGGAAACAACCAATGGTTAGAATTTTTTTTTTTAAAAAAAAAAAAAACCCTTTAGAAATAATTTTCAGTACCCAAGAATATAATGGACCCAGTCCATGCCTAGCCCACCAACCTAATTGCAATGCGCACGGGCCTTACGATCAAGAATTAATTAGCGAGCCCCACACTAATGTGAGAGGTTGTAATTTTTACAATCCCTTAATGATTGTGCAAATGGATTTTTCCAAGATCAAATCTAATAGGATCCAAGTCAACTCCCTTCTAAAGAATAGTGGTACTGGTACCTCTTGGAGGCAAATCCAAAGGCACAACTCCCACTATAAACCAAACAATTATCGGTTTTGCTATGAGTACATTGGGGGCTATTGTGGGCCCAGCCGACCCTCCAATAGGGGGCTACCATGTGGCCATTATGTCAAGCCTTATGTAGCCCCCAATGTACAAGTAGAATAATCCAACAATTATTCCCAAGGTTTTCTACGTGGGACAAAAGTTAGCAATACGATCTAATTCTGTCTTATTTAATGTTCCAAATGGGTGATTTTGAATCAAAATATTTCAGTCAAAATCAAATGATTTTCAAAAAATAAATATATCATGTTAATCATTTCGCATAATAGAACATAAATATGTTTGGTCCTTCAAGTGAGCTCAAAGTTGCTCACTTAAATTATTTTTCCAACTTAAACCACCCCTGATCTGCACCCAAAAACACGTTGGGGTCACAAGGAAAGCACAAAAAGAAGACCATTTCCTACTTCCTTTTTTGTAATATTCTACACCCTGCCTTTTGTATGATTCTCTTGATCATGAGCATGAAGTTTCTCGGAGTCGAGAAGCAATTCCTTGTTTCTTTTATTGGGTTGGTTTATAGTGTAATATGGCAGCAATCCCTTCTCTCTGCATGTTTCGATGGCTCCTGTGTACATGTCTTCCCAGGTGTACTTGAAAGTAAAACCCATTCCTATCAGCTTCTTGGAGGAGAAACTCACAACTTCTATGTCCTTATCAATTCCTTCAAACCTGTTTACTCAAACCTGTTTAAATGAACTTGTCCAGTATTCAGATATCCATAGAAAGGGAAATACACAATAGAGACTTACACGGTAGAGATGTCATATTCGGGCCATTTGTCTCGAATCATTTTTGCCAAATCATAAATGGTTGCATCATGAGAAGAGCAAATGTATCTTCCCTCAGCATTAGGGTGTTCATACAAGAATATATGAGCCCCACATAGATCATCCAAATGCACATATTGACCTTGCGCGATGATCGAGTAGTGTGCTTCATTCCCTTAGGAAAAAGATTAACAGAAATCACGATTGCGAAAACTTTCTATATATTCTGGAAAAGAATGTGTGAATTAATATACCAGTGATTGGCGAAAGTGCAGTAATTAGGCTCGGTGGGAAGGTTGGCGTGATGAATGGACCAACTACTAATGTTGGTATAATACTAATGAAACCAATGTTGTTCTCTTTAGCAGCTTCCCACGCAGCTTTCTCAGCCAAAATTTTGGAAACAAAATACATCTGCGGAAAAATGTCCAAGAAAATATGAGAACAATTTGATTCTTTTACGTTAAATATTTGCAAAACAAATCAAGTGACTAACCCATCCAGTCATTTTCTTGGAATATATGAAATCCATGTCACTGTAGTCAGTTTCATCATAGACAGATTTGTGGTGTTCTTCAACGTTTACAGTTCCAGCAGAGGAAGTGAACACTATTCTCTTGACAGTTTTTGCCTTAGCGCATGATCTAATTAGGCTCAAAAATCCCTCAATTGTGGGCTTGATCACTTCATTCTGGAATATAAAATCAATTATTAGAAAAAATGAAGTCATTTCGAAGATAAATTTTCCACTTCAATATTATTAATGATTGAATTAAAAATCAAATTTTTGTGTTTCTTGGAAAGTTAGGGTATATTCTCTGCTCTTTCAGATCATTTTCAGTTTTCGAAAACACTGAAAGCACGTTTACTTATCCATTTTCAAAAATGAATTTCTAAAAACGAGTTTAAAATTTACAAAGAATATGGAAAAAACCAAAAAAAAAATCATTTTGGCTGTTTTCAATTAAAATCAAGCCAAAACTTCATTTTTTTTTATTTTTGAAAACATGTTTTTCAAAATGACAAAAGAATGCGTTCTCACCAATCTCAAAATGAACACTCAAAATACAAAACTCAAAATCAATTTAAAACTCAAAAATAAAAATTGTAACACGAAAAGAACAATCCCTTAATCTTTCATGTCTGTCCTAGAACAAGAGTAAAAGTAACTAATGAATAACTAATACATAGGTCCTTGTTTGGTTCAAAGAAAGATAAAAAATTTAATAGATTTTAATAAAAATTTATGAAATATAATTAAAAAATTATGGTCCTATGAAATGTTTGATTAAAATTAATTATTGATTTTTGCTTAAATTTTAATTAATTTTTTTAACTGAACCAAACAGAGGCCAGAATTATTAGATGTATATAGGGATGGCAAAAAAACTCGTCGGCTTGGATGGCTCAGGCTCGGCTCGGAAAAAGCTCGAGCCGGGGCTGGCTCCGGCTCGGTTACACCGAGCCTCATTTTTTTGGCCGAGCTTTACTCGGCTCGGGCCCAAAAAAACTCGAGCCGAGCCTGATCTTTTTTATTTAATTTGTAGTACATATAAATCGTACAAATTTTAAATTTTTTAAGTAAAAATGTAGATTTGACATTAAAAGAAAAAATAAAAATCCAAACGGCTAGGTCCGGGCTCGGCTCGGTTCGGCCCGCTCAGGCTCGGGTGGAAAGCTCGGGCCAAACCTCATTTTTTTTTGCCGAGCTTTACTCGGCTAGACTAGGCTCGGGCCTAAAAAAAAACTCAGCCTAAAAAAGCTTGAGCCGAGCTCGAGCTTTTTTTTTTGGGGCTCAGGCTCGGCTCGACTCGACTCGACTCGTTGACATAGCTAGATGTATAAATTAAATTTTATTACAGTACAGTTTGACCATGATTGCGGCACAGACGGCTCACATAGCTTGTTCGCTATAACCAATGTACTTATTTTGTTAGATGTTGGTTTAAACAACCAGTTTTTTTGCCCTCTGAGGGGGTAGGGATAGGGATACTTCTGACAAATATTTATTGTGTTATTTAATTTAGGTCAGAGTTAACAATTAATTTGAATCATATATTTTATGGGATTAATAATTTTTCCATCACATATTTTATCAACTTTTATTAAAATCTGTTAAAAATCTAATTTTAATCATCATCAAACAAATGCTTAATTTCATTTCCTGCCATGAAAATTTTATTGTGTTGGGATAAGTGTCAGAGTAACAATTTTTAGTAGAATCATGCTACAAGTACATTAAGTTTCACATCAAGTTTTACATTGTTCCACGTGGCGCTATCACATTGGACAGTTTTTGAATTTAACACAATTTCCCTCCAAACCGTTGAATATACACACAATGTCAAACTTCATGTAAAGCAAAGAATGTACAAATAGCATTATTCCTTTTAGTATAGGAGGCACTATGGCGATCGATCATACTAGAACGGCCTATGAAAAGACAGTAGATACTCAAACTATGATTTATAAAACTTAAATTATAATTGAAGTTGACCACGAATTATTTTTAACCATATATTTTGTAAAACTCAAAACTTTATCCATTTTTATCCATATATTCGGTAGGAGTCACATTTTATAATATGCAGGAACATTTACAAGTTGTATTTGATGAAAACAATTATTGTATATATAAGAAATTTAAAATTTTAATATTTTCATTTTTTTTTTTAATTCAAGTTATTGTCTACAAAGTAACTAATTTAGTAAAATTATAGGTTTAAGCATATTAATATTTTCATAAATAAATTTTCGCTCAACAATACAACCAATAAAATAATTAAAATAGAAATAATGTTTGAAACTATCAGTGCTACGTCCTTATACGAAAACATTGGAATCAATCTTCACCAATAAATTGACCCAAAAAATGAAGAAAAGCTAGAAACTAATGAAAACACTGCAAATTTCTTTCAAATTTGCCTATAAATATAATAATTTTCAAAAAAAAAAAGTTCAATTTTAAAAGTTGTAAATAAATTTACTACAAACGCTGAAGAATAGATATTAATTGTGTAAAGTTTCAAAGAAAATTAGGGGGGAAAAAACATTTTTATACTACAAATATTCAAGCACTAAATCTCCAAAATACATATTGCAGCCCCCGTTTGGGAGCCATATTCTTCTTTCCATTTAGAAAAATTTCGACCGTTGTGACTAAGCCCCTGGTTGGGAGCCATTTTCTTCTTTCCATTTAGAAAAATTTCTACAGTTGGCACATGACAGCTGACAACTAGTACACTTCTCATTAAATCAAGCAGTGAAACAGCAGTACTTTTGGACGATTATACCCTTTTGTTGCAATGGAGACTACCGCATGGTAAATGGCAAAATCGGAATTTGTAGGAAAAGTGGACAAGACAATCATGATTTGCTGTAGCAAAAAAGGTTGATTTGACCGAAAAAATGTATTTTTCCTCCTGAGAATGTCTACCAAACGGAGCCGAAACATACCATTAAAAGAAATTTCATTTTTAACAAAAAAAAAAATACTTAGCCCAACCCCTATTTGATAAGAATTAAAATCTAATTTTTTTTAAAATCAAAATTAATAATTAATTTTAACCACATATTTTTTATGAATCGCAATTTTTCAATCACACATTTCAGTAACTTTTATCAAAATCTGCTAAAATTTTAATTTTAATTTTCTCCAAACAAGAATTTATTTTGAAGTCGCCCGATGAACATTTTAAAAAGATACAACTAAAACCTTTTTTTTTATTGACTTAAATATTAGTTGTTAAAAGATAAAAATTTATAGTGTGTGTTCATAATCGTGCTTCAATTAAATTTCACGTTAAGCGTAAATTGATTCAATAGTAAATGTTCAAATACCTCAGGGTCCTTGGATTCAAAGTCCATAGGAGTGGCAACATGAAATACTCCTTCACAGCCGTGGATTGCTTCGTCAAAACTTCCTTCTAATGTCATGTCCGCTTTCCACAGTGTCAGGTTCGTGTCCGCTTTCGGCAATTCCAATAGATGTTTTACTTTTTGCTTGTTCTCTATCTCATGTCACAACCACGGTATCCATTCAAATTCGAAATAATGCTATCTACCAATCGATAGTGCTAAAGTACCAATTTCAGTGACATTATGTGATTGACTCGATTAAAGATGAAATTATATGATCCATTTAATTGTTTATCATTTAATATCATTTAGTGTCGGTTATACTAATTTTGTAACACCAGTTAAAAATAACATTACTCTTCAAACTCGTGTAAGATAAAGATCGGATTAAAATTGAAAAATTAGTCGTTATTGCTAACTTTTATTAAACGAGTGAGATCCAATAACAGCTATATTTTCAATTTCAATTAGATTTTAAACTTTGCTAAGCATGCTCCAAGTAGCATGAAATTACAAATTTTGCGTATGCAAATTATACGCTAATGTATGCGATATGCAGTAGCAGAAAACTTTCGAAGTTAATATTTTATTTTTTATCATGAGACATGTCGTCCAGTTATACGTAGTGAACATGTCATTTATTTACACAGCTTTTGCAGGACTACAAACATAATTTCTTTCAAGTACTTGTGATAATGATAGAGAAAGGATCAAAATTATACCTGGATCACGAATGGTTGCACGAACAATATAACCACGTTCTAGAAGTCTCATGACGAGCCATGAGCCGATGAAGCCAGAAGCTCCGGTGACGCATACCGTGGCCGCAGCATCAGTTCCCATAATCAGAAATGTGTGAAAAATTGGAGTTGCAAAAGAGATAATAATGAAACTTTAATCTGACTTTAGTAACCAAGAATAATGAAAATGGCCTTGTATTTATAGATAAAATCAATTATTGAATAAGCACGTGCCTTACGTACCAGTACCATTCAGTCAAGCGTCGAATGGTAGAATGCATTATTTTCTTTTTGGCTAACTTTGTCAGCAGATAATATAACAAGAATTTTCAGTTGTCAGTTTTTTTAAATAATATTGTAAGTGTTTGCTACGAAATGAACGCAAGTGTACGGAACGCGCGTTGAAATAATAAAGTGGATTTTTTAAATTCGAATTGTCAATACTTTGAAAAATGTTTACTTTTAATTACACAAGTTTAATCATTTTAATTTTAACAACAAAAATAAATACACAGAATTAAAATTATGATTTGAGAATAAGGAAAAAATTAATAAAGAATCTACAAAATAAAAAATATATATATAAACACCCGGGAATTTTGAAGGCAAACGTGATTGAAATTCATGATTTCGCTTAACTGTAGCCTACTTAATTTCTCTAAGGCCCTGTTTGATTTGCAAAGTTTTCTAGGAAAGTAGGCAAATCTTTTCCCTTTTTTAACTTTATCCCTGTTTGATTTGCAATATTTTTCAGGCAATTTCTTTTCCTACTTCTACCTCATGCGCCACCTTTTCTTACTTTTCAAAGAATTTGTTTTCCCGAGGTTGTGCTGGTTTTTTGTTTTCCATCCTACTTTTTTTTTTTTATTTAAAAAAAAAAATTTTTTGCAATGGAAACAAATTTAATGGACAATTTTCATGAAAAATAAAGCCAAACGAATGATCTTCGGTAAGTTAATTTTAAAATTTTTTTTTTCAATTGGAACAAATTATAAACTCAATGCTAAAAAAAATTATCACTTTAATGAACATTTTTCATTAAAAAAAAAATCAAATGGATACCAAACATTTAACATTTTCCAGGTGAAAAATTATACAAATCAAACACAATTAATTACAATTCCCAGTAAAACAAATTCTAAGCAATTCAATTCCTACCACCCATTTTCCACATTCGCAATCAAACGGATCCTAAGTTAATTAACAAATTACTCATTTATGATATTAGACCCAGTTTTTCAAGTTTAGCGAATTACCTCTCTCGAACGAAATTAACCATAATTGATTGGTTAATTTTATGTCGAGTAAAACCAAACAATTGCATTATTTTTTTTGTGAAAATAGCTCACTTGGTCCACTAGGATTAGAAGTATATCTCTATCTCCTACAAAAACCTAATATTTTTATTATTTGGTCTAAAATGTACACTCTTCTCTCGAACGATATACAAATCACTAAATACAATTATTCATTGGCCACATAAATGAAAAAGCATGGAAGGCGATAGTAGATACGCATGAAATAAGAATTTTAACATTAAAAGGCAAATATTGAAATTTATTCAAGTTAGGTTAGGTTTCGACCATAAATCGCAACAATAAAACTTAACGCATGTTAAATATATGATAATAAAGTAGAATATTTATCCAATACATTACAAATGATAGAAAATAATTGAGAAACAACAACATTAAATAAAAAACCCTTTTATTGGTTTGTGAAACAATGGATGGATTGATCTCCCAAATTTTCTCCACCTTTTTTTGATTTTATCCCCTTTGTCTACTCTAATCTTTCCTTCAAATTACCTAGAAAATGAGAAGAAAAAGAAGAGAAAACAAAGAAAGTGAAAATGAAAATGAAAGGAAGAAAAAGAAAAGAAAACTAAAAAATATATATATGAAAAGAATAAGGAAAGAGGAAGAAGAGGAAGAAGAAGAAGAAGAAGATTGAATAGAGAAAGAGAATAATGAGAAGTGACTGACAATAACTTATAAAAGCCCTAAAAACATGTCTTGAAAATTGGCCAAAAAAATTCCGAAATTTGTCAAAATTAGCACAAACATCTCCTGCTTGGAAGTGGCATGGGCATGCATGCATTCCTAGCGCATGTGCAGGAGCATTACGCTTTGCTTTCGGGTTAATTTTTAAGCCTCCCGTGCACGCAGGTTTTTTCTCCTTTCATTTCATTAAGCTTAGTCCCCCTACTGTTTGCATGCTTGGTCCCTCAACTTAATCTTGTACAATCTGTCAAATTTTGACTTTCATTTCAATCATGCTCTTAATATTTTGCATCCAAAAGTCTTCCAACTTTCTAACTTGTGCACTTTTGTCCCCAACTCCATGTTTTTGTACGCTTTTGGTCCATTTTCTCTTATTTTTGCATTATTTTCTTTACATTTAGTATTTATAACCTACAAAAGCCAAAATTACCCAATTGTGAATCGATATTCGCTTTTTTTATTAATACTAAGTGTTACGGGCCTACGTCAGACCTTCCACCTCGCCCTCCACGTGTCAGTATATGTGACCCGGTCAAGCGTTGACCGAGGTTATTATACATGGACAGGCTGACTGTGCATGCCGAAGCGATTACTCGAAGGACGAACTGAATGGGCATCAGCAAACGAACCGGACCCATCCACCAGTACGCAGTGGATGCAAAGGCCCGCACTCCGCTTCTACAACGCTGCAACGCCTCAGCCGCCTCGCCTCGCCTCGCCATCAAAGATCTCTTGTATAAAGATCTTTCTAAAGTCAAATCTCTGACTGATGGGACGTGTGGCAGGTCCTCAAACGGTCAAATCTGCAGCCTATGTCAGGAACATTCAATACCAGTCGACCTATGGAGGGACAGAGTGACACCTAGGATGGGACAAGCCTTGAGGATCTGACAACACGTGTCCTCTCATCCAATGGCCCTCCTCCCTCCATCCTTAGTATAAATATCCCCTCATTGTGCCCAGGAAGGGGATGGTGGCCCTCCTCTTTCCATCCTTAATATAAATATCCCCTCCTTGTGCCAGAAGAGGGATTGGAATCCCATACATTCTCCCCTATATATTACCAAATCAAGTATTATCTTCTCCCCCATATTGTTGGCACTTTCATGTTTAAACCACTTCCCGACGAGCGACCTACCGCCGGCGAATCCCCTTATTGAGTAGTAAACTGACTTGACCGTCGAAGTGCTTGCGGCCGCTCCCAGCCCCTCCGGGAAAAGGCCTCAAGTGACTGACGGTGTGCCCCGTGTGCAGGGAGGAGTTGACTGGAAGACATCTTCTGTTGGCCACGTGTCGGAGCCATTTTTCGAGGTCAACAACAAGCATATTTAAATATTAAATAAATCTGAAAAAAAAAATATTTATCAATTACCCCCAAACTTAAGTTCTTATTTGTCTCGAACAAGATTATCTACAACACAATCAAGCAACACATGATAATGATCAACACATTGGATAGCTTGCAAAAAAATCAATGGGTCTAAAATTGTATAATCAATTCACAAATATGCTCCAAATAATGGCATCAAAAGGAAGTTGAACTTATCCAATGTTCGATCAGTGTGTGTGCATAGTTATTTTCAATCGTCACCTAGAGTCGAAAAAGATTATCAAGATGGAAACATTTTCAAATTGGTGTCAACCCGACCCTAAATGATCAAATATTTCATTTCTCATCCCTTAGATAGATACTTAATTTCTTTCCCAGGGTGAAAATTTAAAAGCTGTCTCCAATTACTATTTTCTTTTTCTGCTCTTGTTTGGTTGGGCTTAGTCGACAATTTCAACATCTAATCATGTGATGATTCTCCACTATCGAGTGCTTCAAAATTTAAGTTTATACTAAATAATTCAAACCAACTAGTTATCTAAACCCAAATATCAAATACAATTGCAGAAAATCAATTTTTTATTTTTTCAATTAAAATTCATCATTGACCTCGCAGTTTTACGCTTTCTTTTTTACCCGTGTAATGAGTTTTAGGTCAATAACTCCTCGATTTTTTAGACCAAAGGGCATTGGGTTTCGATATACAACTACGAACTTAATAACTAGAGTGAAAAAGGCTACGGAGTGAGACAAGAATTCAACAAGTGTAATGTTCTTCTTTAAGCACGACAAAAATATATGGGTTTTAGATCCCTAACATATGGTCATTACCTAGTTTATACTTAGCAAAAGACACTCCACGCAATTTGTTTTCACCATGCATTGAATCAACACACTTTTAAATAATATCATTCACCGGCTCGACCACCCCCAAATTTATCTTGCAACATGTTAAGTGAAAGAGGAGTGAATATATGTTGATATAAATTTTCAAGAACTCACAATCTATTTTTACTAATTCAAAACTTTCTCCATCAATCAATAGTTTCTACATTTAGATAATAATTAATCAGACTATTGTCATCAAAATAACTTGAGATCTCACATCGACAAGCAAAACTTTTTTAAAAAATTAGGCACAAATAGCATATTTGGTCATATCTCATGAATCAATAACAATTCTAAATATTAAACAATCCTGAGTCAGCAAGGCTATCTAACACGTGAAAAAAAAACACAAGACAAGCACAATCACTCCAAAACTTAAATCACACATTGTCCTTTATATGGAAAGAGCAAGATAAAAGAGAAGAGAGGGTAAGGAAACTTCCCCGATTAGGCATTTGGTGAAGAGGTATCAATGCTCGAATTGGACTTGTGTTGCCCTTGATAAATTTGGACAAGTGACCTTCTTGTACAACAATTGACCCTCAAACTTGTTGGGAACCATGGATATGTGGGATTTCAAAAATTACCTACAAAAATAATGGTAGCTAATCAAATTTAAAAAAAAACATAAAATGTATATAAAAGTAAAATAAACAACTTAAAAGTTAGAAAATTGGGTTGCCTCCCAAATAAGCCTTTCTTTAGTCTTTAACTCAACTTTGACCATTAAATCATAGACACCTAAAGAAAGCTTTGGATGCTTTTCCCATTTTTCTTCACTTGGCTTTATTCCAGTTTTCATTTGATCTTAAAAACTCAATCATTTCAATATAATATGACTTCTCTATTCCAACCATTTTTACTTCAACTACATAGACTTCT